TGACATTTCTTTTAAATATATTTTGATTTAAGATAGTTTTTAATATTCTGTAGTAAGCGTTAGATCTTACAAATTAGATGACTATAAATTTTTCTTTTTAGTGTTCATGAAGTATATTGGTAATTTTTGTTTTGTGACCATAGCATTTTTTAAAATTTTGAGAATAAGTTCTTATAGGGTTTTTTTACTTAATATTATAGAGTTGCATAGAAATATATTTTTTTCATACACAGTTGGTCATAAGTAAAATAGTATATTTCAGTCAGCCTCACTATCTCTACTACTCTCCTTTCCCACCTACCTCCATTCTCAAAATATTTAAATTTCATTGTTTCATTTTCATAGTTGCAGTCTATTTCCAGTGTGTTCATCTTTCCATCTTCCTTGTTAAAACAATCCCTCTCACTAATACCCACCATATGGTTTTTTCCTTTTGTTTCATTTACTTTATTATCTTTAAGTAGTTGTACAAAGGAGTTGTCATTTAACAGCATTTTATGAATACAATATATCTTGATCAGTGTCACCTTTTTCAATATTTTCATCCCTTCCTCCCCATTCACACTTTCCCTCACTCACGTTTAAGAACATACATTAAATACTGGGATGTAAAATAAAATCTCTCTCCTTTCCTCCATTTTAAAATTTTTTGTGAGTCTAAGCAGACAGTATTTTACTCTGTTTTATGAAGATATTTTCATAAAAATTTGGAATAGAATTTATTTCAACTATTCAGCATTGAGTTTCTCAGTAGTGAAATTAGGACATAGTAAGTGATTCTCAAAGTACCAGGCCAGTATTATCATCTCTTGGAAAATTCTTTGTATTGCAGATTTTCTAGTCCCACCATAGCCCTTCTAAGCCAAAAATTATACCAAGAGCCAAATGCTCCATACTTAAGAACTTTCAGTGGTTCTGATGTAAGCCCAAGTTTCAATACCGCTAAGCTACTTAGACCATCAGAGCTTCAATATTACTTTTCCAAAAGCTGCTCATCGCTACTAGAAATCTTACTTTTATTTAAGTTTCATAAGGGTCTCCAGGGAAATAAGTCAAAAATCAACAAAATAAACACCAAAAAGCTGGTACTTGAAAGGGGTGGAGGTGGGGTCAAGGGGAAAATGATAGAGAAGATAGGGAGAATGGGGGGGGGAAGGAGGGGGAAGAATAGGGAACATCAATCAAGTTACATTGTATTCATGAACTGCTTTGTTAATGGCAACTCCTTTGTATCACTACTTAATGATAATAAAAACAAATAATAAAAATGTGAAAGGAGTAGGAAAAAAAAGGGATATAGAAAGAAAGTCACATTACTTGTTTTGTATGCTTCAAGCCCATAGGCTAGGCTTCATACATGTTGGCCAGGAAGGTAGAGTTGTTCAGAGGGAGAGAAGAGATTTTCCCTTCCTTACATTATCTCTCATTTTGTTAGCACAAGTCAAATACAAGAATGTGTGTGTGTGCATGCATGCACACATGTGGGCACATGTGTGCTAGTACCAGAGATTCTCTTGCTCTTAGTTGTCTTTTGCATGTAGCTGGTACTGGTCACTTAAACCATGCATCTAGTACAATTGTTAGGATGGTTAATGGAAGATGAGTCTTTTCTGATTTTTCTGTTTGGGGTGGTTTTGAACCTGGATCTTCAAAGAAAAGTTTTCTGAGTAGCTACAGTAATAAGTGTGAGCTTAAGATGTTTTAATGAGTTTTTGTTGTTGTTGTTGTTAGTCATGGGGTTTGAACTCGGCCTGGGTACTGGCCCTGGGCTTTTTCACTCAAGGCTAGTGCTCTACCACTTTGAGTCACAGTGCTACTTCTGTTTTTTGGGGGTTAATTGGAGATAAGAGTCTCCTAGACTTTCCTGCCTGGGCTGACTTTGAACCATGATCCTCAGATTTCAGCCTAATGAGTAGTTTGGATTACAGATGTGAGTCACCGGCACTTGGCGTTTATTGATTTTTTTATTTTTATTTTTTCAATCGGACCTGGGGCTTGAACTCTGGGCTTTGGCGCTGTCTGTGCGCTCTTCAGCTCAAGGCTAGCACTCTGTCACTTGAGCCACAGCGCCACTTCCCGTTTTCAGGTGGTTAATTGAGATAAAAGTCTCATGGGCTTTCCTGCCCGAGCTGGCTTTGAACTGCGACTAAGATCTCAGCCTCCTGAGTAGCTAGGATTACAGGCATGAGCCACTGGCATCTGGTGGCTATTGATGTTTTAATGAAAATGTTGTTGGCCTCTCTGTCCCATGTTAAACTTTCTTAGTTATATTTTGAAAATGTACTTGATATTTGTCAAGCCATCTGTTGTAAAATATTACATTAACTTTGTAGTTCTTTTCAGTCAACGTTTACCATAAATATTTACAGTCACATCCTTTCTAGTGTTCACACCAACTTTATTGTTTTTTGCTTGCTTTGTTTGTTTTTGTGCTGGTCCTGAGGCTTGAACTTAAGGCATGGGTGCTGGTCCTGAGCTTTCAATCTAGTGCTCTACCACTTCAGCCACAGCTCCACTTCTAAGTCTTTTAGGTAATTTAGTATAGGTAAAAGTCTCATAGACTTTCCTGCTTGGGCTGAATTCAAATCATAGTCCTCAGTCTCAGCCTACTGAATAGCTAGGATTATAGGTGCGAGCCACCCGTGCCTGGCTCATCATACCAACTTTGTAATGAATATAAGTGTTGGTAAAAAAAAAACAAAAAAAAACTGTAGTATGATTTAATGGTTTTCTTCTATTCTTAGTTCTTGTTGACAATAAAACAATTCTGTATTACTGAGACTCAAACTCAGAGCCCTCACCTATGCTAAGCAAACATACACGTACTACTTCTGAGATATGCAGTAAGTTCCCATGCTGACTGTTTTTTTGTGTGTGTGCTGGTCCTGGAGCTTTATCTCAGGGCCTAGGCTCTGTCCCTGAGCTTTTTTGCTAAAGGCTGGTGCTATACTACTTGAGCCATAGCTCCATGTCTAGCTTTTTAGTGATTAAGTGGAGATCAGAGTCGTATAGTCTTTCCTGCTCAGCTGGCCTTGAACTGTGATCCACAGCTTTCATTCTCTTGAGTAGCTAGGATTTCAGGTGTGGGTCATCAGCACCTGGCAACCAAGACTGATTTTAACTGCTTCAGAGCATGCCTAGTTTGGTCATATGATCTTTATACTTCGTGAAACTTTTTACCTCTTAAATATTTTTGTGGACTAAATTTTGATTAGTAATTTCTTATTTTTTTGCATGAATTCACATTTTAGTAAGTTGTAGTAAGCATTAACTGATGTGGTAACATGGCTTACACACCTAATAAATTATGCTATCACAAAGTGGATGATAAATATTGCTATACTAAAGAAAATAATCATTAAATATGAAAACTGGGTCAAATAGTAAAGTTCTGAAGTGTTTGAAAAAAATCTGTATTGTTCTAAAGACCATTAGGCAATAGTATGTGTTAATAGTATATATTAAGAATATTTAATACTTTGCTTTCCCATTTAGCTTAATCTTAGATTCCATTAGCTGATATTGTCTGTTGGATCAGTTAAATGGTTTAGGAAGCAGCAAGGCAATCTCAGGATGGATGTGAAATGCTATTAACTATGCGTTAATTTGGTAGATTTGTGGAAGCTTGATGTCTTCAGCAATATAACTATGTTATACATACTTAGTTTTGTTGGCTTTGTGAGTTTAGCATATTCTTTTATTGCCGGGATGGCTAAATCAGGTGATTTAGTCTATATTTTAAGGCCATTTGCTGTCATTTGGGGAAAAGGCAGTACTGAGGTTTGAACTCAGGGCCTCATACTAGCCAGAAGGACACTTTCCCATTTGAGTCACATCCCCAACCCTCCATTTGCTGTCTTAAGAACTTTTTTATAAATATCTTACTCTGATAAAAACATTTTAACTTTGTAAACTACTAGCAGACTTACATTGTTCTTTTGTCAAGAAAACAATTGAAATTACTCATTTTTGCATGCATTCAGTTAATCAAGATTTTTTCCTCTTTTAGATTAATATTGATCTATTTTTAAAAATAGATTTTAAAAAATCACTCCAGCTGTGTTGACATTATTTATGGTATAAAAACTTTTCATGAAAAAGTTGCTTTAATTTTTTTCTTATTAATAAGAAATCATCATTTTTTTCTTCAACCGAAAGTAGTTTGTGTGCTACATAAACTCCCTCTCATGTATCTCCTAAATTTAAAACATGGAGTTTAGTAAATAAATTTTACATTTGTCCTTAAGTCCATATTTGGTCAGTATAAATTGAGAATGTTCACATGTAGTTTTCTTTAAGTTTGTAATATGTTCAAATAATGAGTGAGAGTCACTCTATTATTTTCTGACATGTAGAAGTAAATCATTTACTACATTCATATTAATGTGCCTTGGTGGTACATATATATGTATATATACATATGTACATGTGCATATATATGTATACATACACATATGAATTTCTTGTACCCATTTTTTCCTTGTACAAATCAGGGAGAATATTAAGTATTCTCATTCCTAACATTAAACAGTATGAACACTTGAAAAGCCTAAAAAAATGGAACTTTTCAAAAGTAAGTGGTGTCCATGATTTTCAATTACCTAGCACCACGTATAGTATTGAGCCATAGTCAGTTTCCCTATTAAAATGTTCAGTATAGCAAAACCGGACACTGATTACCAAATTTAGTTAGCATTAATTTTTTGGAGTTTGATATTTGCATATGCATAAGTGTGCTTTTTAAGTGATGCCTAACTTCATTTTTGGTTACAACTAGTGGGGGCAATCTTGTTATTGAGTTGTTAGACTGGTTTTCATCAAGGAAGTTGGATGTTTTACTCGAATTGTTGGTCTGCAAGAAAACAGAATGCTTCTCTTGAGTGCTAAGCCAGGATAATGAGGCAAGGGGTTTATTTCAAAGTTTGTTTTGGTGATGGCATAAATACATAACAGGTTCTGAAATCCAGTTACTATATTAAATTTCATCACTTGTTTTTTAGGTATTCCAATAACTGTACCACCTCCAGGTAAAACATTTTTTTCATGTTTTTTTCCATCATTGTTAATGAACATGAAATTTCCAGCTTAGGAGGGTCAGTGTTGAAGTGGTTAGAATATGAACTTGGCTATTGGGATTTCAAGGTCCTATTTTCAGCTCTGCCTTTGCTTCATTCCAGTTTCAAGATACTTAGTTTTCTTATACTTGTCTTACCCATTTCTGTGGAAATAGAAATTGTGAGAAAATTCTCACTTTCCAATTTGTGAAGAAAATATGAATGTAAAAATCTTTATTAAAAACTTTTGATCAATGAATATTTTATATGATAAAGTGACTACAAGAGAAAAGAAAAAGAATTTATATTCATTTTATCATAACTTTTTTTTTATCCTGTTGTCACAGTTCAGTTTCATGAGAAAATATGTTCTGAACCACACAGTAGTAGATGGATTGAAAACTGGTCAGGTGGTAATTTGTAGAGTGGTAATTAATTGTTCATTGCTTAATCGTATGGCTTATAGGGGTTTGTTTATAGAACAGTGTTGTTTCTATTTTTGTCAGTTGTTCCTTTTTATTGGGTAGTAAAGTGAACCCTGTTAGCAAGTGTGTCTACTTAGCTCAGTATTGAAAGCTAAGGAAAATGTGAAGCAAGTGATAGTGATAATACTGGAAGGGTGGGACTAAATTCAAAATGACCTGTATAAACAGAAATAGGGAAGTTCAGATTGCACAGGACAGTGTACACATTTAGGTGTGGGATAGTCAGTGATTAATTGTGTGTAAATGTGTCTGACAGACTTACCAAGAAAAGTCAAAGGGATTGTGTATTTATAGTTTATTTTAATGTGGTTGTGAGGCTACTGTGTAATGTAGGATTATGGAATCTAGGAGTACTATGGTAATTGTGCTTGTACTGATTTAATATAGGAGATCCAAAAACTGGAAACAGTGATAGAGCATAGTAAACTTGAAATAGTTTGAAACAGGACTATAACTTACTTGCATGGAGCTTTGAGAAGGGATAAAAGAATAGCATTCATTTTACCTAGAACACTTAAGGGAGGACTTAGTAGAAGTTTCAAATACATAGAAGGTAATAGAGTTCTTGATAGTGGAATACTTTTGCCTCAGGACAGGATATGAATTACTGTGTTAGGGATTTAAATTATATCATTTAATGCATTTCCTAATAGTCAGGGTTGTTAAATTTGGAAAAACTAGGTATTGTAAGTTGTGGAATCCTAAAGTCTTCTGTTGGAATGCTATGTTTCCTAATGAATTTGAAAGTACAGAGTAGCCTACTTATTAAGATCCATTTTTGCAATATTATTCTGTGGTACTAAAAATTGAGAATGCAGACCTTCTGATACAAAGGTACAAATTATTTTCTTCTGTGCTAATGAAAAACTCCACTATTTGCCTTCCTTTGTAAAATAGTTCATTGGGGTTGTGCTATTAAAAACACTTTTACATGTTTGCTGGTTAGGTTCATTTATATATTGTATATTTTAAGGGAATTTCTATACATCTGATACTCAATATTTTTTAAAAGAGGTAAATGCTATTTTATCTGCTTTTCTTCTATGAACTATTTCAAATAAAATCTATCTGGTGGCAACATTACTACTGTTTTTTATATGGAAAAGGTAAGGCATTGAGACTTAACTTTCTCATACTCACAAAATGGGCTATGTGTGGTGCTGAAAATAAGACCAAGTGTCCTGACTCCCAATCTGTGCTTTGTTAGACCAGACTGTTTGTTAAAATTTTTATTATTCCAAAAACTGTATATGTTAAGTTCCATTTTTTTCTATCCATTAGATGTAGAGAAGCACGTTTTTATCCCCAGAGAAATTTAGTGAAACACAGCAGCTTTGTTTCACTCTTAAAATCGTATGTGCAGTCTGCTAATAATTTTTGTCTTATGATTGAATGTTTCAGGTTTTCCTCCTCCACCAGGCGCTCCACCACCATCTCTTATACCAACAATAGAAAGGTAAATCAGTATGGGTGGCTGTAAGTTTTGGCCATTGATAGCCTTTTGGTAGAAGAGTTGCATTCATAAACATAACATCTGCCCATTAATTTGTAAATCTTAACCTGTGTTAGTTACTGTAAGATATTTAACCTAAAGCCTGATGGCAAAATAGAGCAAAAAACACTTAAAATAATAGAATTTTAGAATAGGAATCTTTTATTTATGCTTTTATTTATGCTTTTATTTATGACATGGATTAGATTTTAGATTCTTTTTGCTAAAAACTTGGCTGGTCAGTTGTATGGAAAGTACAGTTTGCTGGAAATCATGAATAATATATGGCTTTTTTGCAGTTAGGTAAAGGCAACTATTATTTTTACCCTAGTAAAAAAAGAAAAGCTGTTTTCTTCCTTGTTACACTGTTGCATCTCATCTTCTTCATAGAGCTGGCCTTATTTTCTATACTTTGTATTTGTAGTTTATGTTGATTACAATGCTATGTTGAACAATATTCTTCGTTAGATGGCAATATTTTGTTTTCCAGTATAGGGAAATTACAGTGTTGCTAGGGGAAGGTTCACAATCTCTTTGAGACTTTAGGGTGCTATTCCTGTTTTCCTTTAAGTGCCAAATCCCCTCTATAAGGTATTTGCTTTTAAAAAACATATTCAGCTTATATAAAAAAGAAAGAAAAATTCTGAGTTTTACATCAGTAGTACCAAACAATGCATATGTTTTCATAGATAATACTTAGGAAAATGTCAATTGTGAGAACATAAGAATTTGCTTTTATTTAGTCCTTGTTGAACACATACTTGTTCTCAATCAAAATGTTAGAAAAATATCAGTCCTGTTAGTTGGACTGATTTATAACCTTAAACTTAAATTTTAAATATTTGCTGGGCGCTGGTGGCTCACGCCTTAATCCTAGCTACTCAGGAGGCTGAGATTTGAGGATTGTGGTTTAGAGCCAGCATGGGCAGGAAAAGCCATGAAACTCTTACCTCCAGTAAACCACCAGAAAACCGGAAGTGGCACTGTGGCTCAAGTGGTAGAACTGAACTGCTGAAGGACAGCACTCAGGCACACAGTTCAAGCTCCATGACCGACAAAACAACAAAAACCTTTAAAATTCTATTCTCAACATTCTTGTTACACCACGTTGAGCCAATCTGAATGAATTACATTATTCATGTTAAACATTACTTGTTTTTGTGAGAAATTAAGTGTAAGATTTAATGTTAAGACATAAAAGACAATAAAAAGCCATAAAAAAGCCATAAAAGCCAATGTTTTTTTATTTTAAAATAGAATTACAAAATTAAAGCTTATCATTAAATGATGGTAAAAGGTTATTAGTTTGTTAGGACAGAGATACAAGTCTGCCTTCAATTACTCAGGTGTCGGGTATGGGAGGATCATTTGAATCCAAGAATTCAAGGCTGGCACGAGTAACATAGCAAGAGCTTGTCTAAAGCCCAAGAATGTTAAAGGATTTTTTGCTTTGCTATTTTTCCATTTGTATCAAACTATTAAAATAGCAAAAAATACACTTTTTTCCTTCAAACAGTGGACATTCTTCTGGTTATGATGGTCGTTCTGCACGTGCATTTCCATATGGTAATGGTAAGTAGTTAACTCACATTTAGTTTGAATCAGTAAAAGAGCTAAATATTTTTTTAAATGTAAAACTGTTTTCATGGTTAAAAAAATCATGAAAACAGTTAACAATTTTAATTGTTTTTTTTTGGGGGGGGGGGCGGTCATGGGGCCTGAACTCGGCCTGGGCGCTGTCCCTCAGCTCTTCAGCTCAAGGCTAGCACTCTACCACTTGAGCCACAGCACCACTTCCGGCTTTTTTCTTTTTGCTTATGTGGTGCTGAGGAATCGAACCCAGGGCCTCAGGCATGCAAAGCATGCGCTCTACCACTGAGCCATCTTCCCAGCCCATAATTTTAATTGTTAAAACAATGAAGCAATTAAGAAATGTTACTTGATGCTGACACCACTGGTTCATTCATATAACTGTAACTACTCAGGAACCTAAAATTTGAGGATTGTGTTTCAAAGCAGCAGACAAGCCCATGAGATTCTAACCACCATTAACCATGAAAAACCAGAAATAAAGTTGTAGACTGAGTGGTAGAGCACCAGTGAAAAAGCTAAGGGACAGTGCCCAGACCCCGAATTCAAGCCTCAGTACTGGTACCCCCAAAAAAGAAAAGAAAATTAAAGAAAGGAAGTAAAGGGAAGAGGCTGGAGGGAAGAGAGGGGAAAGATTAATTGGTAGAATTGATTTACATGTTTCCCAGGTTCCTAACAGAATCACCTCCATCTATTTTTCATTTATACTTTAGTGAATAGTGACACAATAGATATTTGTAGATTTTTTCTAATAGGAGTTAGGAGTTTTCACCAATTTGTCTCAGTCTTTATTTGTAAGAGTTATGGCATCTGTTTTTTTACTTTCCTCCTCAGTGGCTTGCTTTCTTTTAATGATAATTTGTAGATCCTCTTTGATGTTCACTCACAACAACTTTATCCACTTTAAGAGTATCATTCACTTATTTTTTGCAAATTATAATAATTTTTAAAGATATTTTGAAATACAGTGGTTACCCTAATCAGATTTATAGGCTAGCTGGGCAGTAGTTAGGTGACAGAGAAGAGGCTGTCAGTCGAAGGGTCTCCCTTAAGGGTGAACAGTACATGACTTGATTTCCACAAATGTTCAAAAACATAGGGATAAAAGGAAATAATATAGGCTTTAGAAACTGAACAGAGCTGGATGTGACTGAACTAGATTTTTGTGATCATACAGAGCAGTACAAGAATGCCCTTGGAGATACAGATTGGGTTCAGAACCCAGTCATAATACTCATAGCAATAAATTTTATGTGATAAAATAAGCTGCAAAGTTCTAGTTTCCCAGTATATATAAAAGTATTATTTTTACCATATACTTTTATGTTTTCATATTATACTGTATAGATTATAACATGTCTAAAAGAACAATGTAGATATATTAATTTTAAAAAGGCTTTACTATTAAAAACTGCCAGTGATTATTTGAGCCCCTTGGTGAATTGAGTTTTCATCTTTTGCTGATGGAGGATTTAGGTGGCTCTATGATGCTGGCTGCTAACTGATCAGGGTGGTGGTTTTTGAAAGTTGGAGTGGTGGCAATGTTTCAAGAGGAGACAATGATGCTTGCTATATCACTTGAGTTGAATCTTTTATGAAAGATCTCTTGGATCCATGTGATGCTGTTTGATAACACTTTACCCGTAGTAGGTCTTTGTTTGAAATTAGTCAGTCCTCTCAAAAGTTTATGTATTCTTTTTTTTTTTTTTTTTTGGGTCCAGTCGTGGGGCCTGAACTCTGGGCCTGGGCACTGTCCCTCAGCTCTTCAGCTCCAGGCTAGCGCTCTACCACTTGAGCCACAGCGCCACTTCCGGCTTTTTTCTTTTTGCTTATGTGGTGCTGAGGAATCGAACTCAGGGCCTCAGGCATGCAAGGCAAGCGCTCTACCACTGAGCCACCTTCCCAGCCCCAAGTTTATGTATTCTTGATTTGTTATTTTCCTTTCAGTACTGTTAACAGCATCTTAACCAGGAGTAGATTCCCAGTGAAGAAACCCAGTATCTATTCCCCTTTGCTTTTAGAGCAATTCCTCATCTGTTAAAAGTTTTGTCATGGGGCTGGGAAAGTGGCTCAGTGGTAGAGCGCTTGCCTTGCATGCATGAGGCCCTGGGTTCGAGTCCTCAGCACCACATAAGCAAAAAGAAAAAAGCCGGAAGTGGCGCTGTGGCTCAAGTGGTAGAGCGCTAGCCTTGAGCTGAAGAGCTGAGGGACAGTGCCCAGGCCCAGAGTTCAGGTTCCGCGACCAGACCCCCCCCCCCCCCAAAAAAAAAGTTTTGTCATGAGGTTTCTGTAATTCTTATCTTCAAGGTACACTTCTAATTCTGTTATCATATCTGCTTCCTCCACTAAAGTCTTGAGTCCCCCAAAGTCATCCTTAGAATCAGCATCTTTCAAACTGTTAATATTTTGACTTTCTCAATATTTTTGCGAGTCATGATTTGCTGGTGGCGGGAGGTACAGGAAGAAGGAGCACAGTACTGACTGGAGTTTGAATTCAGGGCTTCAAGCTCTCTCAGTTTTTCACTTATATCTTAGGCTCAACACTTTCACTTCTGGTTATTTAATGTTTAATTAAAGGTAGGAGTCACTCAGACTTGCCTACCTGGGTTGGCTTCAAACCTTTTCAGATCTCAGCCTGAGTCAAAGATGCTTAGCTTATAAAGGTTCTTAATGGCATCTAGAATGGTAACTGCTTTGCAGATGATTTTCAGTTTTCCTTGCCCAAATTCACTAGATGAATCAGATGAATCACTGTGGCATCTTAGGAAATGTATTTTTTTTGGGGGGGGGGGGTGGTCTGGTTGTGGGGCCTGAACTCTGGGTCTGGGCGCTGTCCCTCAGCTCTTCAGCTCAAGGCTAGAGCTCTACCACTTGAGCCACAGCGCCACTTCCGGCTTTTTTCATTTTGCTTATGTGGTGCTGAGAAATCGAACCCAGGGCCTCAGGCATGCGAGGCAAGCGCTCTACCACTGAACCATCTTCCCAGCCCCAGGAAATGTATTTTTTAAGACCTGAAAGTCAAGATTACCCACTTTTGTACAGGCTAGGCTACAGAATGGATTTTGTGTTAGTAAGCATAAAAATAACATGATTCTTGTCATTCATCTCCATCAGAACTAAGGTGACCAGATGTATTGTCAGCAGTAATATTTTGAAAGATATCTAAGCTTAAAATACTCAGTAAAGCATGTTTTAAACAGATGTGCAGCCAACCATTTATAGAGCACAGGAAGGAGTAGAGTTAGTATAATTCTTAAAGGCCATAGGATTTCTGTAGTGACAAATGAGCATCTACTTCAACTTAGTATAATGTTCAGCTGCATTAACTCCCCACAGAAAGCGGGACTATCTGTTGAAACTTTGAAGCCAGGCATTAACTTCTCTATAGGTTAGCTATAAAAGTCTTGGAACACACTAAAAATCTGTTAGTGTTGTTACCTTCATCATTTGTCCTACTAGACCTCTGGCTAATTTGGTATACATTATGCAACTTTTCTATTGTAGGGACTGTTGCTTTCTTAAACCTTGTAAACCATCATAAGGGGCATTGTTTTATTCTTAAAGTAGAATTATTAATCCATTACAGTGTAGCTATTGAACCTAAGATATTTAGCATGCATAAACGTGGCCAGCATGGCATAAGCTGCCACAGAGCTATATCCCAGGCCTTAAAGTTAGCAATTATTTTGTAGTGGTTCTCATTTTCTCTTTCTAAATTATTAATACCTTTCTAAGTCATTAATCTTTTTTGCTAGTTTCCAGTTTTGATATTGGGAAATGAGTGTTCCGATTCTTAACACTGCCAAGTGCCAAGTGAAGGATCTTTAAGACTTTCTTAGGTCTTTGACATTTGTTGGTAGATTTTTCAATATTGAGAGTATCTACCAGGTGATATTTCCCTTCTGCATTTATAAATTCCTCTTTTGTGGCAGGAATTTTGTCTTTTCTCATTTATTTTTGTTTTTCAAGTACTATAACATATGTGTTTAATGTGTTTTTTCTTTAGTTGCCTTTCCCCATCTTACTGGTTCTGCTCCTTCATGGCCTAGTCTTGTGGACACCACCAAGCAGTGGGACTATTATGCAAGAAGAGAGAAAGACCGTGATAGAGAAAGAGACAGAGACAGAGAACGAGATCGTGATCGGGACAGAGAACGAGAACGGACCAGAGAAAGAGAGAGAGAACGTGATCACAGTCCCACACCAAGTGTCTTTAACAGGTTTGTTGAGTGTTAAAGAAAATTTTGTATGCATGTATTTCACTTACGCTTTTGACATTCTGTTTATATGAGGAATTCAGTTCCAGTTGACTTGGAAAAGGCACTCTTAACAAATACTTAGAAGCCCCATTTTAAAATGAGCTCTCAGAGGTTTGCCTTTATCAAAAGCAAATCTTTGAATTTGTTTACTTGTCCCATAAAATAATTTTGTACCTCCTCACAAATTTTTTAGCTGTCATCTAAAATTTTTCATTTGATTGCTGAACTGTCATCCTTTGTAAATTTTTAAAAGATGTTTTTACTGGTACCAGAGCCTTGTGCTTTTACCAGCTTAATCTTGCTGGCACTTTATCACTTAAGCCACTCCGCTAGCCTTTCCTTTTCTAGTTAATTGAAGATGGAGTCTTGAGAAATTTAATGCCCAGACTGGCCTCAAACCAGATCCTCAGGTCTCAGGCTTGTAAGTAGCATGAGCCACTGTTGCTTGACTTATCATTAAAAAAAAAATGCATATAGATATCTTTGCCAGTTGTAAATTTTGTATTTTTATGCTTGAATTTCATTTCTGTGCCATTTCCCTAAAAATCTTGAAAAAATTTTAATTGTCCTTTTTTGGTAATGTACCTATTAAGAAGTCTAAAAAAATTTTTTTGCTCCTGTGTCTCATGTTCAGAATTTTATCTTGTTTTCACTTATTTTGTGGATACATATACTGAAGAATTTGAATAGAACAGCATCCCTTTAATGCAATGGAGAAGCTTTCTCTTCTCTAGTTAATATATGATCAATGTATGAGTATTGTCATTGCAAAAAATAGGATTTGCTATTAACTAATATTATTAATATATAGAGATAAACATGGAGAAACCTTGTCATATAAATTAGGTCTGTCCTAAACCGCCATTTTAATCTGGCTATTTTCAAGACTGAACCTTTCTGATAGACACAGTCAATCCTGTTGTGCATTTGGTAACTGAAGACTTGTGTTTTCTAAGTTTCTTTAAGAACACCAGAAATACTTTGCCAAGATTTACAAAAAGCCTACCCTTTTTATTTGTTACCCTTTAATTTAAAGACAGATAAACCATGCTAAGAACAAAATAATATTGATTTTAACAAATATTGGTTAAAAGCATTTTAAAAACGCCACTTCTATATGTATTAAAAAGTTGATTTCATGTAGATCTTGGAACTGCACATTTTCTCTCATTTCAATCTACTGAAACAACAGTAATATAATTTAATTGGTAGGAAGATATTTCTCATTGTTACATCAGCTAGCCATATCACACTCAGTTTCAATCAGAACAAAGTCAATAGAATTTTGTATTTTGTGAATTATACCAGGAAAATGAATTTTACTATGGAAAATTAAGTGAAATAAAGACTGGCAAAGTGTCAATAAAGCAATATGTACATAGGCTGGATTATAAACTTATAGGGTCATTGTTTTGAAAATTACAGATCAGGTTTGACATCTGTTTTTTAGATAGCTTAACTGTGGGCCTGAAAGAAAGTCATTCTAAGATGTTTGGAATGAAGTCTAATAATTTCCAGGCCTAGAGAAACTTTAGGCTACAGCCACTGCTCAGAAAGGCAATGGAAGGCGGTCTTTATGTCTTGGGCAGGACCAACTATGCAACAGTCTCTTGTAAGGTCCTCATCATGGTTGCCTTCAGAAGGGCCAAAGCCAGTGAAGAGTTGTTTTAAGAGTTAGAGGTAAAATGAAGGCTACAAATGACATATTATTAGATTACTTTTAGTTATTTTTATGTAAGTCTGTTGAGTCATTATAAAGAGCCTCATTTGCTGCTGGGCTAATTCTACTTCAGTGACTATTAAAAAGCTAAAAACTTACAAAAAATCTTCTGCCTCTGAAAGATTATCAAATTTGCTAAATATTTTTATTATCTACTCTTAGTGTCTGTGTGTTTGTGTACCAGTATTGTGGCTCGAACTCAAGAGCCTTGTGCCCTCCTTCTGCTTTTGGCTGCACTTTACCACTGGAGTTACACTTTTACTTCGGGTTTTCCAATGGTGAATTGGATATAAGAATTTCTCAAATTTGCTTCAAATCTTGATTCTCTTAGCATCCTGAGTACCTAGGATTATATGCATGTGCCACTAGTATGTGGTGTTCCCATATTCTTAGAACATATAGCTGCCTCATACAATTTTTATTAAACATATTCCTAGAAACCACATCTTTTCAGCATATTGTTTTAAAAGTGAGTTCATTCTAAGTGAGATAATTACTGATAGTAGGTTTAGAAAATATTGACTTGTATTTAAATAAAAAAAGGAAAGAACCAGGTGTTGTGGCACATTCCTCAACATTTCAGCCGTTAAGGTAAGAGGATTATCAGTTCAAGTTAGCCTGGGCTACATGGTGAGACTGTTTCAAAAAACATGATGGATGATGAGGGACAGATTTAAGGAGGTAAAGAAAAACCACCTTCTTACAATGATTAGTTCCTGTTTTATTAGTCTTTGTAATTCCATTCAAAGAATCAGAAAATAGAGCTGCAACTTATACTTATCTTTTCCATGCCCTAACACACAAAGATGTGTGGTATGAAGTGATGGTATGTCCAATCTTTGGGCATCCTGTACAGGTATTGTAGAAGGTGATTTGATGTTCCTATTTTGGTTTATTATTATTATTATTATTTATTGAACTCTGATGACTGTAGTACTCTGTATTGTTGATAAAGTAGAGGCTTAAGAATCTTTATCTGCTTTCTACCTTGTAGCCATTGTGAGCCATATATTCTTAGGATCTTCACTAGGCTTTGCAAATAAGAATTTTTGTAAGAAATCTGGAATATGTTTTTAATTCTAAACTAATAGCAAAAGAAAATGAAGCTGTTGATTTAAATTTATATCAGAAATAAAAATACAAAATATTATTATATGAAATATCTATGGCTTAACAACTTTGAAAGCAATAGAGGGAGTGTAATGTGTAATTGTTATACTTTAAAAACTTTTTTTGGGGGGGGGGGGTCCGGTCATGGGGCCTGAACTCTGAGCCTGGGCGCTGTCCCTCAGCTCTTCAGCTCAAGGCTAGCACTTTATCACTTGAGCCACAGTGCCACTTCCGGCTTTTTTCTTTTTGCTTATGTGGTGCTGAGGAATCGAACCCAGGGCCTCATGCATGCAAGTCAAGCGCTCTACCACTGAGCCACCTTCCCAGTCCCTTAAAAACTTTTTATTAAGTATTTGTACAAAGAGGTTTCAATGCTATTGTCTTTTTTTTTTTTTTTTTTTTTTTTTTGTGGTCGGTTGTGGGGGCTTGAATTCTAGCCTGGGCACTGTCCCTGAGCTCTTCATCTGAGGGTGAGTGCTCTACAGCTTGAGTCACAGCGCTACTTCCAGTTTTCTAGTGGTTTGTTTGAGATAGGAGTCTCATGGACTTTCCTGCTCAGGCTGGCTTTGAACCACAATCCTCAGATCTCAGCCTCCTGAGTAGCTAGGGTTACAGGCATGAGCCACCAGCACCTGGCTCAATTCTATTGTCTTTAAAGTTATTAATGTAGAGGCTTCTGTTTGACTTGAGAACCTCTTCCTGCACAGTTTTCAGTCATTCAGAATTAGTAGTTCAGGTGTCAAGAAAACTTGTTTCCATTTTGATTGCAGTGATGAGGAACGATACAGATACAGGGAATATGCAGAAAGAGGCTATGAGCGTCACAGAGCAAGTCGAGAGAAAGAAGAACGGCATAGAGAAAGACGACACCGAGAGAAAGAAGAAACAAGACACAAGTCATCCCGCAGGTTTGCTCTTTATTAATAAAATACCGCAGCCATTTCAAGCCAAAGAAAACGGATTTGAAAGTGAAAGCAATAATTTCCAAATAGCCTCCAGAACACATGTGTTTTCATTAGAAGTTTTAGAATAATCTGTTGAAATCCATTAAGCACTTCAACAAAGGTTTTTAAAAATTAGTGAGACTGTATTTCATTTAATACTCAGAAAAGGAAAATTAGCCTGGGATAATAATCATAGAATTTGACTCATTCTACTATCTCATTAGCAGAGGAGGAAATTTAGTATATGAACCAAATCCTAATAGTATAAAAGTATTTTGGTTCAAAGAAAAAATTTAGGGCCAATATATTCAGAAAAAATTATAATTGAAGAAAATGGACACTATAAAATAAGTACCTCTTAATTCTGACATAGTGCTTCAATTTCTAGTTTATAATTTGTCTTATAGAATAAATAGGCACTGGGAATTTGAGGTAATACTGGTAAAGATGATCCTATTGCATATTTCTACATGAAAATCTCAAAAATTGATGACTTTCTAAAATGTGTTTATGAGAAAGTAATGCATTAGGCTATACTATGTCCAATGTTATCTTGAGAATTCACTTAGCAGATTTAGATTATGATACCAATTATGTATTTAAACACTTTAAAACAGAACATATTTTATTTTCCAGTAATAGCAGACGTCGCCATGAAAGTGAAGAAGGAGACAGTCACAGGAGACACAAGCACAAAAAATCAAAAAGAAGCAAAGAAGGAAAAGAAGCTGGCAGTGAACCTGCTCCTGAACAAGAGAGCACCGAAGCTGCACCTGCAGAATAGGCAAGATTTTTGCCCCTTGTATATTAATCCCAGAAATAGATAAATATAAATCTCATTATTTTTCTGGATAATGTTTAAGAAATTTGCATTTAATCTTGTTCTGTTAGAATGAAAAGTTAATTTTTTTCAAAATAAAAAGAGTGAAAATTTCATGTTAAGTTAAAAATCTTTTGTCTTGTAATATTAAAAAAAAAAAAGACAGCAATTCACTTCATGTCCAAGAAAGTAAAGTGAATGAGTCTCTTAGAGGATTTAAAGAGCTGTGTTGTTATGTATATGCACAGTATCTAATGAAGGACAAGGACCCACCTCAGCTACAGTTTTGTTATTATTGGTCAGATACCATTCTCTTTTGAGGTTGTACTGCAAAAGGGACCCTCTCAAGTCTTGACATTAAAACTAATGGTCATTACCGCCATGGCACCTGCATATTAGTCAGAGTTCTTGTATATAGTTTTGGTATCCCAACTTTTGAAAGATTTTAAACTTGGAACTAAATAAGACATTTTTTATATCCAAATTACTAAGATCTATCAAGTGGTATTTGGGTGGCCACTGCAATATAACTTCTCATATGTCTAGTTTCTAGCAGGCATACCTACAGACACGTCATTGGTAACACAAAGCTGAACCAGCATGGCTGTCTCACCCATTCTTGTGTTTTCCAAGACTTACTGGTAGCATAATAGATGGAGTTTATATTGTGAATTAAAAATGTACTTACAAGTTTTAGTCATTTCCTATTAAAACTAAGAAAATAGAAGTTTATAATACCAAACGAATTTGAGAGAGAACCTTAAAGGTGTTATACATACATGAGGTAGCACATAACTGCTGGGATCTTTAAAATGGTGAAAGAAGTAAATTTAACTAGAATCACATATAAAGACAGGTGTAATTTTTGAAAAACATTTATTTCTCATTTGGTGAAAGGAACGTTTCTCATTGATACAGTAAAAAAAAAAAATCCTCTGGCTTTAAATTAAAATGCCCATGATATACTTTTTTGTAGAGCTGTTCATTTGCCAAATTTTAATTTAGGTTGGTGATTTTAATTCAGTGGGCATACAAACTATTTTATTGTTTAAAGGCATTTTGTAGAAAAATATAAACTTAAAAGTTGTGGATGAGAAATCTTCCACACTGAATAAAAGCTACGAGTAGTTTTTATTTTTTGAGAATATTGTTTGAATATAACTGACTTTCTTTAGATCACACCTTTCCTGACATTTTTTTATAGTGCGTTCTTTAAATATAAAAATTGACAAGATAAATATATTGTTTCCGCTTAGCCTATTTGTGATTTTTCTGTTTTTCTAAGACTCAATTATTGACCTTATAAAAAAGTACCAGGCCAAGAAACAATAGTGAGAGTAATTCTCCCTTTAAGTTCTTTCAGCATTCTTGCCAAGCAAGCATGTACCATGCCTGATGTACTTCTACCATTGACAGCAAGAAGAATATCACCGCATCTAAAAAACAAAACAAGATATGTGATCAGTATTTCACTTCATAGTTGAAGTTATGTAAGTTTATTTTGGTGGTTCTAGTTTTTGCTACAGTGGTCTATTTTAACTGCATTACTTCCAAGTAAAGATTAAATTTTACAAACTTACTATTCATTTGGCTTCTGTTAGAAGGAATACTAAAAGTGTTAGGAAGTTGCAGTTTGGAACCAAGAAAGGACATGTTTTGAATCTATTAGACATTAAATGCTACCCAAATGTTGAAATTTCTAACTTCCTTTAAAAAAAATAAAAGTACAGTAAATATGTGTTCTTTGAAAGGGGCCAAACTTTTGCATATAGAAAAAACTTCTTTGAATATAAGTTTTTAATAGTCATTAGTACCTAATTCTTCCATCATTATATGCTGGGGTTCCTTCGACAATAGATTTGATAAAGAAAGGCTTGTTCCCATTGTACTCTTCATAACCTCCTACGATGCAGAAGCCCAGACTTCCAGCCGTGTTTCTTCTTAATATGACATCTTTACAGTTGTATAAGTACCTGAAAGAGTATATGTAATCAGTCAATATGTACAGTTAAATATTAGTTGTGATTCATCTCCCATTCCTTTCATTGGAATTTGTTTAGGCCAAGTATTTTGTATTTGGTCTTCTGTTTTCCATACTTGAGCCCTCCTCAACAAAGTGATTATAACTATTATGTCTGTTTATGTGTATCTACTGGAAAAGATAACCATGTTTTTGGCTTAAGGACATCCTAATGCTTGAATTTCTATTAGCCAAAAATTGGGTACATCTAAATCCTTCCTGATAAGCCAAAGTGAAATATACTGAGGGATCATGTTTTTGTGAATAAAAATTTTTAATGAAGGCAACACTCCTTTTAATAAGTGATTCATTTCAACAAAAAGAAACCTGTGCTATTAATGAAGTAGAATTTTTGATCTTTGAAAAACACTAGTTTATACTAATAAAGCTTAGAAAAGCAGGCAGTCATAAAGTGAATGGAAACCGAGACATATGTAAGACTATCACAACCGTTCCTGTAGGTGGAAAAAAAAACTAGCATAAATGGAGAACTGCGAGTTACAAAAGGGCTAGGAGAATGAAAGACCATAGGTCTTGTATAAATTATTAGAATCCTCAAGGACAATGGACATAAAATTGAAGTTCTGTTACTATTCAGTTGTCATTGGATCAGTGTTCACATTAGTGCTGGCTAGTGTGAATTGTTTTCCAGGTCCCAGAGAGGGAGAGGTGTCTAGACCTGAGTTTTGCTTTAACATCCCTGTCTGCCATATGTGTGGCTGATTCTAGGGACTGAGGATGGGCGGTTAGCATTTTCATGTTGGTAAAATCAAGATAATGGCAATTCTGTTAATAGACTGTACCTAAAACATTCATCTTACTGTTTTTTGACAACAATAAAAAGTTTCTTGTAAAATATTAAGTGATAAAGTTGGTCATTATATTTGCTACTGACATTTCTTCTATATGTAACAACTATTTTCATATTTTTGCTGACTCAGAATAAAACAAGCTTTAAGATTTGGTAAATATTTTTAAGATGTGTTATACTAAATTCAGCTTTATACCCAGTTTGTGTCCATTGTCATAACAAACACACATAAAATTTACAACCATCAGTTCATTTCACCAAAATGATAGCAAAAATCAGGAATTTTATTAACAACAATAACAAAAATAGCTTTTTTTGTTTGTAGGTGATAGTCCTGGGGCTGAACTCAGGGCCTACATGTGTGTCTTAGTTTTTTTTTTCCTCTAGGCTTAGTACTCTACCAGTTGAGCCAGCTTTTTATGGTTAATTGGAGATAAGAGTCTCATGGACTTTCCTGCCTAGCTGGCTTGGAACAGCAATCTTCAGATATCAGCCTCCTGAGTAGCTAGGATTACAGGTGGGAGCTACTGGTGCCTGACCCCAAAAAGAGTACCCTGTTTTTTATTGCAAAACATTGGTCTTTTTACACAGTAAACCTTAACAAGGTAGAAAAGGACATGCCTGTTATTCTTTAGGAAGTTAGATGAATAAGCTACATAGACATTATTGCTGTATAAAGCAGAACTAGAGATCACAGGAAGTACATGGGGGGAACCATTCCATACTAAATCGCAAGTCAGCACCACCACACACTTTGGTGTTGCCACAAAGAAATGAGTGCTAGCCTCTTTGCAATTTTTTAAATTATATTTTTATCTTTAAGTAGATGTACTATTCATCAAATCAGTTTATGAATACAGTGCATCTCTGCAGTTCTTCTAAGTTCTATACTGCATTGTCCTCCAGTTCCTCTTTCCCTACCTCATCTCTCCCCTCTATTTCTCCAACCTTCTTTCATACTTCTCCCCTTACTCTCAGGTTCTAGATTATTGTCCTTTGTACTATTTCTGTACCATGCCAGTTTTATTCCATTTGGGGGCTTTTGTATTAACTGAACTCCCTCCCTGGAATACTCTACTCCACATGACTAGATACTTCCCATTTCAGGTCATAGGATAATTATCATCTCTTCACAGCCCTGTCTTAAGCAACCTGGACCAAAAAGAAAAATAGACACACACACACACACACACACACACACACACACACACACACACACACACACACACACACACACACACACACACACACACACACACACACACACACACCTGGACCAAAAAGAAAAATAGACACACACACACACACACACACACACACACACACACACACACACACACCTACCTCAATCCAGAGGAAAAAAATTCTGAAGGAATAAGACACTAATAATTAGTCATCTGGAAGGATTGGAGATGGGGATCAGAGTGGAATGCCTGCAAAAGGGAGATGGGGGGTGTGGCTATGTGAGTTACTGTTCCTTACAGAGATAAGATCATGATGATGGGAAAATAAGCAAAAAGGGAGTCTAACGTGTCCACTGGATTCATTCATCAACAGGTTACTGGTGATACTGATAATGTGGCAAGAACAGGCAAGGGAGAAAAGATAGATGCTTTGAGTGAAGTGAGAAGTAGAGCAAGTGTCAATCACTTTTAACCTAGGAGGAACTTGAGCATGCTGTACTGGTATGATAAAGCAGCAGACGGAGGTACTGATGACCATAGAAAGAGAGGAAGGATGATCTCAGAAGACAGGAGAGGGGGAAAATGTGCTAGGAGAAACTCCTTTCATGCTTCTAAGAAGGAAGGAGGAAAACTGGTTATGGAATTGGAGAAAATAGGTATGAATGTAGAAAGTCAAGTAGATGTACTCCAAAGATGCTGGATTTTAGCTTGTAAAATGGTGAATTTATCTGCTGGTCAAAAGAGTAGATGGAATGTTGGAGGTTTAAGTTATGCAGAATATGTAGGACACAGGTACTGAAGAGAATGGGAGCAGAATGCTGTCATGGAAAATGTCATAGGTGCCAGTGGCTCATACCTGTAATCCTAGCTACTTGGGGCTGAGATCTGAGGATTGCGGTTCAAAGCCAGTCCAGACAGGAAAATCCATGAGATTCCTATCTCCAATTAACCACCAGAAAACTGGAAATGGCACTGTGGCTCAAAGTAGTAGAGTTCTAGCCTTGAGTGAAAAAGCTCAGGGATAGCACTCAGCCCTAAGTTCAAGCCCCACAACCAGCCCCAAAATAAAGATGTCATAGGGATATGGCTAGCATTGTAAGCCCACCTGGAGGTACTTATTGAATTTAAGAGGT